AGCCTTTGATAAATATATAGAAAAAACAGAGACAAAATGCTAATAATCTCTTTCGAGAATCACCTCAAAAGACATAATAAATTGCCATTCTTGTTTTCATTTTCTAACTAACAAAATCAATTAGAATTGCAAATCCCAGAAGGAAACCTCAATTGTCCATAGTAATGGTCATAGAAATCTCCCTATACAACAGTATCATTCTCATACCTTGAAATTTTTCATAGCAGCTTTGTCCATGGCATCAACAAATCTCTGTTGAAACTTCTTGACATCATCAAATATATTCGAGACACGTGCCCCCACAGTGTTGCCGGCACCCACTCTTACGTTGCCACGTGGCTGCTTGGACATTAGGAACTCAAGGGCTGCAAGCTCTGATCTCTCTACAATCCTATGATTAAGTTCACCACCATCAGTATTTAGCTATAAGTAATTGCTTTCCAAAAAGTAAAAATAATGTACTACTTTTTTGAGCCACTATGAATCAATCAAAATCAAAATCAAAAGGCAAATATTAAGATTCTTACGAAATGCAATCAACAGGACATGATCCAATAGCCTCTTGGATTTTGTGTTCGGGGTCAGCCCACTGAGCCACAACCCTTGCTCTTCCATATGTTGATTCAATGGCAAACGTCTTCTCCGCAAACAAGGCACATTTCAAGCAACCAACACACTTCACTTCATCAACAAACACTGCTCTTCGCTCATTTTCAGAACCCAGCCAAACAGAGTACAAGGGTTTTCCCGTATATCCCCTCAGCTCTTCAATCTTTGCTTGCTCCTGCACCGCAAAACCCAAATTCATAAGCAAGAAAAATCCCAAAATTTCAAATGGGTTTTTTCTTTATTTCATCAGAGAATTGATTTGAAACTGATTATATCGATTGGACACAGAAATGAGTAACCTTGTCATAAGCTGAACGAGCGGTGGGATTGGATAAAACAGAGTAAGCTTCATTGAGAATGATGGCCATGTCGTGGCCCGCAGGTCCGGCGATGTCGGGGTGGCAGCGCTTCTGCAGGGAGCGATAGGCAGTCTTGATCTGAGTTTGATTGGAGGAGCTATCGATGCCCAGAAGATCGTAGAGATCGAAATCCAATAGGGAAGAGGAGGATGAAGAAGAAGAAGAAGCTTTGCATGTGAAAGAAACATTCTGGAACTTTCTAGGGAAAGGGGAGGCTTTGGGGATTACTAGAGACGTTGTGGGCGTGATCAGAGGAAAGCATGAAGCTGCTGCAGGCATTTTCTTCCTCTGAGTTTGAAAAGGGATAGGAGAGATATTTGTGTAAAGACTAAAGACGACGGGATAAGATATTTGTATCTCCAATTGAACAGGAGTTGGTGTAGATGGAAGGAAAGTCCTGCAAGTCACGTCACAAATG